GATATAACCTGATATAAGTGATATATCAACAATGGAATATTTACATAACTGACAGTAGGTGTTATGGAGAACAAATTTATATCTTAAAGGCAATTGCAAACTAGCTCAAGTTGTATGCATTCAACAATTTCATGCAGAAATATCCACTCATTGGTCAGCCTGTGATTGCTTACTTATCAGATGAAAAGTACTTACATTTTAAAGGACTTGTTTTCTTTCTTAAAGTTTGCATTTTTTAACGAAAAACGAGCTACTTATAATAAATTAAAAAACTGATTTGACCAGCTGGTATCCACAAATCACAAGTTATCACATTTAATTGACTTTCCATACTGTTCATCCTCTTTTACTTGCTTTCTTCAACTTGTTTTAATGTCCACTATTGTAAATTATTTTTAGTTTATATCGCATAGTACTAAATTGCACAATCTTCATATTGATTGAAATAATCCATTGATCTACCCACATTCAGGGGTGTAGCATAGGGATGTTAAGTTTGCAAACCCTGGAGCATGCTCAGAGGACAGTTAACTTTATTGATTCAAAATTAAATACAATTTCGCCTGTAATTTATACAAATAAGAATATTTACTGAAATATAATAACTTTTTGAATTAAACTTGTGTAAACTACAACCTAAGAAGCTTTTTATTGGCTTCTTATAAAATAAATAGGAAAAATTGTGTGTACAATACCGTTTCCTGAATCAATCATTTCTCCATTCATACTTAACCAATTATTACAATACTTAGTATTTTTAGAGATGTTCAAAAATTATTTTTAGGTTTTTGGAAATAATGACATTTCAAAATGTAAATAAATAAATAACAGTACTACCAACAATATTATGTTAGAATATATACGTTTTATTATTCTATAAAAAAAATTATTTAATTAATTATAAATAATTAAACATGTACTCAGATACTTTATATATTTCAGTATATTTAAATCCATCAAAGTATATCATTTTTAATTATATTTTATTCCACATATTCCTATTTGCACCTTGAAAAACTTAATCAAATATCACCTACATTGAGGTCTAGAAAAAAAGAAGAGCTTAGATTAATCGTGTTTGTCATGTTTGTGTTCTGTGTTTTCACAGTATACATCATAAAGAGTAGTGTAAGGGAAATAGAATAGGCGGGTAGGGTGAGTTACATAAGCCCAACCGTTCATAGTGGCGTCGGCGCTAGTAGTCGCAGTAGATCAGTTGGAGATATGACATAGCAAGAGGCGTATGACTGATGCAATTGTTGTTGCCATGGTTTCATATTTACATTTACCCAAATAATGATTATGCTATACAATGTTTAAAAAAAAACAAAGATTGTATTATTGTATTATGTAAATTTTGAGTATCCATCGAAAAAAATTGTGTTTGCGGCAACATTGTAATCCACGCCTTTGCAAATTGCAAAAATCACAATATAATTTGTATACCAAATTTTAGAAATGGAGATAAAAACAGTATACATCATTTTTTATATATTTAATTACTATTCAAATAGGAATAAGCCACAATTAAAGGTTAAAATACGTTTATTGGCGTTTCAATTTCTACTTCAGAAATCGTTCTCAAAATACAAACATCGTTCTCAAAATACTCTAGCTAAAAGAGAAAAAGGTATAATACCAAAATGGTATAGTATTTAAAGTCGAAAAAATCAAAAGAATATTTTTTGTGGATGGGTGTAAGTTAGTTAAGTTGGACGAAGGGATATTAAACGTTCTGAGAATTGAGTTTATTTTACAAGCACTAGGTAAGAAGATCACTTAATTATACCAAACTTTTGTTAGTAATTACAAAGGCAATACTGTTTTGTACGTTTTGCTTCTGTAGTTAAATTACTTTTAAATCGTAAAGTTCGAACGATTTCTGAAGTGGAAATTGAAACGTCAATAAACGTATTTTACCTTTAATAAAAGAAAATAGCTTCAGAACAATATTTATTTTCCGTTAAACGCAAACTTTTTGAATGTTGCCCCCCTAAAATTCAGAGCATATTTTTTGAGTTTGCCCCCTAAAATTTAAAACCTATCGTTTAAATTTGCCGCCAAATTAAATTAATTTTGGCCCGTCCACATTTGGCGCTAGAAACTCTCCCTAATCGTTTTATTGGACTTACCTTACTAGAACGCTAAGTACTGTTGTTGTCCTGTAGCTTAGACCACAGAATAATAAGCAATCAGAAGGGCCACTCTCAGATGCCGCCTTTGAAGTTTTTCAGCACGCGCGCCATGTTTTAGGAGGACACAGACATATGATTTGTGAGGTTATGCAATTGTTTACATTTATGTTTAATTATATTATATTTATGTTATTATATTTAAAACTGTTAATATATTTGTATAGTATGTCTATGATTGCCGTAAGTCAAATAAACCTGGTTAATTTTTCCATACACACCACATAAACAACACTAATTTCTTTAAAATCCTCCTAAAACATGGCGGAACGTCTGCGCGGAGGAGATGCGCGTACTTAATTTTCCGTGGAGAGTGGGTATTCTGTTTCTTTATTATTCTGTGCTTAGACCACGGTTCCTAGAGTAAGTCTACGAACCGTGAGCTTAGACCATACATATTACATAGAATAGAAGACTAGTTATATTATTATTATTACTGGTCACTGGTCTGTGACTAGACCATACCATAGGACATGATACTATGACTTCCAAGATAAAACCACTTCGCAATCAAATTTTGTAGTTCGATGTGCATGACGTCATTTGGTGATAAAAAGTTTATCTTTAATTTAATATTCTGAAATATATTTTATCAAAAATGCACAAATATATTTGTCAGCGTACTAGATAAACGATAAAACAATACTAAATCTAAATTAATTAATTTACTGTTTGTATTTTGAGAACGATTTCCGAAGTGGAAATTGAAACGTCAATAAACGTATTTTTATCTTTAATTGTGGCTTATTCCCAGTTTAATAGTAATTAATTTACAATGCCACAAGAAAATAGCTTCAGAACAATACTAAATCTGGCAAAACTCCATGAAAAACAGAACATTTCTGGTGATATTTGTCTCCAAGTGACGTCACACGTACACACGTACAAAAGAGATAGATGGATCACGTGAGCGTGGGTTTATCTTTAGCTCATAGCATGATACTATGAATAACAAGATAGGATCTTCCCGTAGCCGAAAATCGGTCGTGTTCGCGCATGCCGTCATTGCAGAGTAGAATTTAAATTCTTGTTAAAGTTAAATGGGATTTGTATGCATTCTGTGATGAAATTACTAGACGAAAATAAGTTAAGAAGTTCAATAATTACAATAATTGTACACATAAGGATATCTAAAAACTATTTATTAAAGATTATTTATTGACACATACAAAAAACTGACATTTCGAACGTGCAACTCTCCAATGACGTCACAAAAACATGCGCAATATCTTATCTTCTTATCATAGTATCATGCCCTCGATGATCATGCCTCATAGTATCATGACCATAGCACAGAATAATAAACAATCAGAATGCCCACTCTCCATGGAAAATTAAGTACGCGCATCTCCTTCGCGCAGACGTTTCGCCATGTTTTAGAGGGAACCAGTGTTGTTTATGTGGTGTACATAGAAAAATTAACCCGGTTTAATTGACTTACGGAAATCATAGACATACTATACAATTATATTAACATTGTTAAATACAATAACATAAATATAATATAATTAAACATAAATATAAACAATGACGTATAATATATAGACTACGCAGTCCCCTATTCTCGCTATAGAATCGAGTGTCCGAAAGATCTCGGCTCAAGGTTGAAGGTATGTTTATCAGAACAGCGGCGTGCTCATTTATATGTTAATGACAATAATTATTTTTTTAATTAAAATTAAATATTTATGATTTCTTTCTGTTCCCGTTTATAAGAGAAATAATTATTTTGATAAAATAGTATGGCATTGTACTAAAATAGTAAGTAAATAACTCTCAACAATTTAAAATAAAATTTGCTTGTCACACAAAATGGAGAAAATGTTTTCATACGGCTATGATGTTTTCAAACACAAGATCAACTTCGTGATGCTTCGTAAGAAATCATGAACTTCGTGCATCTTCGTATCAAAACAATAAACAATAACAAAGGTATTCATGTTTTGGACACTTTTTAAAGCGTTCACCGAGTCTATATGTTATACGTCATTGAATATAAACCATCGAGCAAAAAGATAAAAGAGGGAATGTAAAGGTAGTGGGGACAAAAATATTGTTAGACAGGAAGCGTTATCTTGAGAGGCCACTTTAAACAAGGAAAGACAGTCTCTTTCCTTGTTTAAGAAGTCAAATTTAGTTTGGTTATGTTATTGTTTGTCTCAACTGTCACATGAAATTTTATTTATATTGAAGGTTTTTACCAATTGTGTCACTTTTTAGACTATTATCGTTTATATTTAATTAAAACTTTCTTGTCTGAAAAATATTTTACAGCTATTGTTAACAAGTGTTGAAAAATTTAAATTTAGCGCCTTTGCATTTCCGGATATGTCCGCCATCAGAGGCCACTTTTTTGGTCTCCTTTTCATAACGATTAGATTCCCTCTTTTATCTTTTTGCTCGATGATATAAACAATTACATAACCTCACAAATCATATGTCTGTGTTATAATAATGTGTTTCCTTCTAAAACATGGCGCGCGTGTTGAAAAACTTCAAAGGCGGCAGCTGAGAGTGGACATTCTGATTGTTTATTATTCTGTGACCATAGCACATATATTTAACTCGATTCAGACACATCAGTCACGTCTCGTCACAGTGATTGCGCCGAACCGAACAATCCGTCATACAAAATATTCTTTAATACAAATGCCTTGCCGGCATTCACACTCATCAGTTGACAAACAGTTTCCCAGCTGTCAGATAGTTGATAGTTTTGTGACCAAACAGGACCGGTTCGGCGCCGAGCCTATGACGTGTCTGAATTGATTTTAAGAAGTGTAACTGACGTGACTGTCAGTCACTGTGAATGAAACTAACTTTAAAAATAAACAAATAGCACATAAAATATTCAAATATGACCGAATCGGAATATTTGAATACTGGAAATAGCACTAAAAAAGAAGTATTTTTTTATCATAACTATTTAACAGGCCTCATTAAAGCACTAGAAGGTGAATACACATTAATAGATTTAAGAAACGAGAGCAGTATTGCAGGAAGGATCTCAAAAGTAGATGGATATATGAATATAGATATGAATGATGTTGTATTTCGGGATCCCTTAGGTAATGTCTTGTTTATCCGTTTTTCTGTTAAATCAGGTTAAATCCTAATGTACCAGCAGGTATACACTGAGACTCATCAAACATATAATTCAGATGCCAGAGTAATGTTCATTGCATGAAACCCATATATAACCATGTATTACAAATCAAAATCAAATTGATTCTACTTTAACACACACCAATTAACGGTTTTATTACTTTTAAAGATATATCACTTACACATTAGGTGTGAGATTAGAAGGACTGGTAATTCAGTTTAAAATGTTTGGTTTCATTTGTTTTATTCATATAATTGAGAATAAAATTATTGTACCCCCTTGGACTGTTGTCATCCCATTTATCAATACCAAACTCTCCATATTTAAAAAAGCAGATAACCATCCCAAAGCATTATATCAATATGTCAACTCAAGACATACAGTAACCATAATCTTATAAATACTGATGCCTCTAAAACTATAGATGAGTGGGAGCAGCATTTATGTCTAATAAAACAAAAATATTAATGAAACTCCCTAAATTAACATCCATTTACACAGCTGAGTTAACCACTATTCTCAATGGAATAAATTTTGTGGTAGAAAATAGTATCAAAAACCCTGTCATTATTATGGATTCCCTAAGTTCTGTAATTGCCCTAAATAATTTATAAAGATTAAGATGCTCTAGTGTACTTGTGATAGATAAACATACCCAATGTATAACTATAATGCATATTATTCTGCTTTTCTTACAATCATCTAAAAAATCTACTCTTTTTATGTGGTACATTGTTTTTAAAACAGTTCTGAATTTTATATTAGTTTATACAAAACATCATTTAGAGAATGAATTTTATTGATCAGTTTTGTTTTTAGGTAACAAATATTGTTTTGAACAATTTTTTGTCCGCCATAGGAATATAAGATATGTGCACATTCCGAAAGAATTGAATTCTATGGAGTTAATTCAAGAAAATATTAGTGGACTGAAAAGGGTTAGGCCAGATAAGAGTAAAAGAACTTTCAAAGGAATTAGAGCTTTAAGATACCATCAAGAAACTGTGAGGTCTCTTAGTAAAACCAATTAATAAAATCATTTCAATTATTGTTGTGTTTTTTTTTTGTATAATTACTTGGTGCTATTTTGAAAAATAAGTTTCTATACTTTGTCTTTTAGAAATTTGCACATTATGCACTAGTACTTATCTTCAGTTCTACCAATGCCTGATGAGATTTAAGTAAACCTAAAAATGTAGTTTTAATGAAGACATACTTTTAGAGATTTTCTCTCTAACTTCATAAAATTATATAGAGAAGACTAACTTCTTAGTAGAATAAAAATCGTTTTCTATCATCTTTATTACTGTAAAATGTGATTTCTTTCGTACATGTGCTATTATCTTTATCCAGTCGTCACGTTCGTAGATATCTTTAAAAAATTTTTTTTGCTTACTTATTACTCCTAAATCTTGGTCACAGGTAAAGTAAGAATGTCCGCTGACTAAAAACTTATGATCAATATTTTCCACGACAATATCAGGATGTGACACAATAAAATCGCAAAGGACAGGCATTTTAATGTTACGGTTACAACAGTAAACAACATTTTTAAAATAATGCAGTAAACAGGATCCTATTTCTTGAGGTCCTCGTGATACTTGTGTCTCGTTCCAAACATACATGAGCATTATTAGTAACCAAATTATGGACTCCTAAGACGTAAGTCCACAACTGGCGTTTATAGTAAGAAATTCCAGTGCTGATAACTGGTGTGGGCAACATTCGCATCAAGTCAAATGCAATCACTGTAATTTCTTCAGGATTTTGTTTTACATACTCTGCATCTTGTTTCATACCACATCTAGCATGGTCTGCCTTTCGTTCGTGAGCCTCTAGTGTTACTTCAAATTCACGTTTTTCTGCTTGAACTGTTGAGAACTATATTTTATTGTTATACAAATCGCATTTTTATTAAATTATTATATGTATTAAATATTTTTTGAAATATGTGGAATGAGACAGGATTCAAATTTTTGTTATTTTCTATAATGCAAAATCACCTTACTGGAGAGATTTATGTTATAATATACGGAAATGTTGGTTAGGCCGGTTTTGCCAATCTATAACTCAATTATGAACAAAATGTTGGTTAGCCCACTCTTGCTCTCATAGCCTCAATTATAACCATCCAAGGCTTTATTCAAAATATCTTCTGAGTACCTGTGAAAAAAGAATGGCGAGAGTACACACCCTGATGAACCTCTCTCTTTATTTTTATGTCTTCGGTTTTCTTTCCATCTATTTCCATTGCAGCGCTTTTGTCGTAATAGAGATTGGAATTAATGTTAATATCTCTTGTACTATATTTATAGTAACATAAACATATTTGTCTCTTAAGGGTCAAGGTAGTTGTTAAACAAAAGTTCACAATTAGCGAATATATTTTTGACCAGCCTCCAATTTTACTAGTGGGCAATTCCTGAGATAGTAAAAATAATCATTATGGTCAAATATTCACCGACCCTTAATGTGGACTTTACGACAGACAAAGAGGACAGCCGAGAAAGAGCGAAAAATTATTGAAATTCCACTACAGTACATACCCCTAGGAACAATAATTTGATTCAAGATAGGATGGAAGGAAAGACGGAACCAGTGGAAGAATACATAAAAAATAGGCATATAACAAAGAAGTGAACAATATTAATGAATGAAGAAACAATCTTCATAAAGTGTAAAACAATATAACCAGATACTTCTTTTCGGCAAATAAGATGTAATATTCAAAAATCAAACTATGAAGTTTAAAATCTTATTTATTACAAATATACTTTATTACAAAAGTACTTCAGATTCCTGGTTTATGAGAGTAGTACTTACTAGTTTCGGGAAATTGTCGTGTGTCCCTGTGACACCAGTCACATGATGGGCGTCCGCAGGGGGGGCAGCTGTCCACCCCCTAGAGAGGACGAGGCGAGTGTAAAATTGGTGAATAAGCAATATAGAAAAATACAAAGTTGTATCTTAATCTTGATTTTGAATGCAACCACTCTGTTTGCACATTCTACCTGGGACGAAAAAAACACATAAACTTAACAAAGTTCGAAATACTATTGCCACTATTAAAGACATAACCAATTTCTTCCGTGAATCAGTATTAAGAAGGAATATGATAGCAAATATCCCTAGCCTCTGCGAAACACGGTGGTCCGAGAAATACAAGGTAATTATGGTTTTTCGAAAAAAATTCATTGAAATTGTACAGGCCTTGCAAACTCTATCCGTTGAAGGAAATTTGGCCACTAGAAAAACATCTTATCAGTTGCATTCTGCGGCATGCCAGTCAGGATTTATTGTCGCTGTCATTTTGATTGCAAAATATTCTGAATACCTAGAGCCTATAGTCAACCGCCTACAATCTGCGCAAACTAATGTTTTAAAGGTAGCGGAACATATTCGTCAAATCATGGATATTTTTAAAAAATACAGACAGAACGCAGAGAACGTAACGAACACTTTATTGCATGAAGCCAATAAGATAGCCGAAGAATGCGGTTTTGAATTATCTACCCCTAGAACTGTAAGCAAGTAACAGCATAGAAGCAATCAACCAGCTGATACGCCTACTGAATACTGGAGGCGATCTATGATTCTTCCGTATCTGGATTCTATCATATCTTCTCTAGAGACACGATTTTCCGAAGAAAATACGCCAGCCTTCGCTCTGAGTCTTCTGCATCCCAAGCATTTTTCAAAAATTGATTTAAATTGCCTTAAATTAGAACTGAGACAATCCTTAAACCACTATGAAATAGATGGAATAGATGCAGAGCTAGAAGTATGAGTAGAACACTGGAATAAAAAACTCCTTAATAATGAGTTAGATAACTTCAACACCCTTGAAATTTTTGAACTGGTTCGAGCGTCCACTACTTTTATCCGTTAACAAAAAAATTGCTGGAAATTCTCGTAACATTGCCTTGCACTACGTGTACAGTTTAGAGATCGTTCAGCAGTCTTCGAAGAATAAAAACATGGTTGCGGAGTACAATGGTCGAAGACCGCCTTAATGGATTAGCTCTAATGAGCATTCATCGGAAACAAATATTACCAAAAAAGGAAGAGTTTGTAGAGAAAGTTTTACAAGAATTTACAATTGATCCGCGTAAATTGTTGTTTAAATAATAGTGTTTAGGAACAGACAATTTATATTGCTTCACAAATCGAAGGCTTATCCAGGAGGAAATAAACTTGTTAAATTTGCATCATGTTTTAGTAAAAAGCATTAAAAAAGTTTTTAAATATTTAAATTATATTTAGTTTGCTTCATTTTTGTATGAAGGCGTTGAGCTATAATTTTGGCTCCAAAAACGTTATTTTCAAAACTTTTCTGAGGGAAACCCCTCTCCCCTCTCAGTGAAGACTCTCAATTTACATCTATATGTATTATAACCAATACCAATTATCTTATCTAACCAATTTTTTTATTTCTCAAATCTGTCCCCCCTAGTTTTGGTCCTGCGGACGCCCATGCTGGTGTAGACGTATTTATAAAACTTTCTAGTTATTTTCAGAATGTTCTATCTCTTACCTTTCTTAACAAATTCATATTTGTGATAGTTTTATCAAAGTAAATAATATTTTTAGCTTCACATTGTTTGACGCATTTTTTTTTCACATTAAAGAAATGGGACGCGTAATCGTATGGAATTGACTGAAGCCTAAACCGGTACCAGAAAGGTTGCCATGTCATATTTTATTTCTTCAGTACATTGAGAATAAGGATATATAAATATCAATAAATAGATTTTTTCAAAATTTATAATTGAATACTTGTGTAATGATCACTATTTGTACATGATTTTATCATTACATATTTTTTAGTAGATCTATATAGTATTTCAGTAAATCGAAGTTGATCAGTAGATCTACTGAAAAATCAGTACCCCTGGTAACCCTGCGAGAGGTAGTAATGAGCAACGTATAGGCACCAAAACATGGCGGTCACATCGAAACTGGCTTCACTTTTCGAAGGTTTATTAAATGAGCGTTACCTGTCCTCGTCTAAGATTTCAACAGTAGGGCGTTTTACATAAAAACCTGTCAATTGACGAAGCCATAATGGTCGGCATTCCAGTAAACAATAGGGAAAACCAGTACGATTTGATTATAAGAGCTGGATATTGTTATGCCTCTGAGATTTATTTTTTGTTAAAGGAAATCCCTAAGTTTAAGATTTAGGTACTCTGATCATAAAAATTTTTTCGAAAATTATTTTAGTAGCCATGATTTACTAAAAAAGCTGAGATATCAAGGTTATCGTAAGATAAGAGAATTCGTATGAAAAAAGTACAAATATTTAAAGAGAAAGAGTTTCAGCGCTTCTTTTTATTATGTGTGCAAGACAATAACACTATCCCAATTGTTACCAACTATGACAAGCTGCAACCTATTAGTATTGTTAAGCGCATGTGACAGGATATTTGAAATAAAATTTACTCCAATCGTTTATAATTTATTTATTGAAAATTTAAAAATATGCCCAATTTCAACAATACTATTTCCCTCCTCTAATACGAAGTACCAAATTGAATGTAGAATCGTTTTGAATATTGTAGGATGAGAGAGTACGTCCATCTTCTAACTCATTTCCAGCAAAGATTAATCTTTGTTGACTTGGTATTACACCTATTTTATCATCAAGTTTAGCTTTTACATTATGAATAGTATCTGAAGAGTCTACTTCTAGGGTAATAATCTTTCCAGTTAAAGATTTAACAAAAATTTGCATACCTCCTCTAAGACGAAGTACCAAATTGAATGTAGAATCTTTTTGAATATTGTAGTCTGAGAGAGTACGGCCATCTTGTAAATCATTTCCGCCAAAGATTAATCTTTGTTGACTTTGTGGTACACCAATTTTATCTTCAAGTTTAGCTTTGACATTTTGAATAGTATCTGAAGGTTCTACTTCTAGTGTAATACTCTTTCCAGTTAAAGATTTAACAAAAATTTGCATGCCTCCTCTAAGACGAAGTACCAAATGGAGGGTAGATTCTTTTTGAATGTTGTAGTCTGAGAAAGTCCGGTCGTCTTCCAACTGCTTTCCAGCAAAGACTAATCTTTGTTGATTTGGTGGAATACCTTCTTTTTGTTGAATTTTAGCTTTGGCATACTCAATGGTATCTGATGGTTCAACCTCAAGGGTGATGATTTTGCCGGTGAGTGTTTTTACAAAGATCTGCATTCTGTAACAAAGAAAATTTGAGTTTGGTAACATTATTTAAGAGTGACCTCATTTTAATAATTTGATGATTTTTAGATGAATCTGGTATATTTATTACATACATATAATTTTGTAAATCAAGTTATGACTTAGGTACATTAGCCTAAATTAGTAAAAATCAGAACGCGAGTTCATGGTGCGCAGTGGCAAACTTAGAAAAACTGGGGAAAGCTTTGTTCAGTGTCAGATAGACGGCTTCATGTATGGATTTTCTCACTAGAGTCTTCATTTGATCTGCTCATCGTGTTGGAGATCTTCATCTTGGTCTTCGGCGTTCTACCTTTCTTTAGACTACTAAAAGACTATTAATAGGTTTACTTTTTTTAATATCCTGTCTTTTATATGAAGCTTTTTCATATGACAGGTTGGTCTTGTGTTCTATCCAAGACACGTGTATAATTCTTTTCTATACGTATTAATAGAATTTCGTAGGCTTCGATCTTATCTCTATCGATTTTTTTGAGAATCCATGTTTTAGCTGCGAATGTAGCAATGGGCAAAATCGTCAGCTGTTCGAACTGATTCCGATTCAAGCCAAAAACTCTAACTAATGTCTCCAAAATCTTCCCATTTTCAATGGTTCGGGAACAGAGGTGCCACCTGCTTTGTGGTACTTTAAAATGGTACTTTTCAAAATATTTGGTCGAATTGGCTTAAATGGCAACTGTTGAGAATGTAATACATTTATATTGTATACACAGATATATTGGTGTAAGAGTAAGCGGAACGCACCCATAGTGTCATGGGTTGACATGACAGACAATAATAGTAATGTCAATGAGTATCATGTAGTTGTAGGTGGTAGTAAGAAGTATGGTGGCTTAAGTTAGGTTAGTTAATTAGTATGTATGTTATAGGAAATAAAGCCTTTTATAATAGTAGTAAAGTACGACTATTTATTTTCCAAATCCACACCTTAACATGGTAGCAGAGGTCCGTGGTTGGAAAGTCGTACCTTTTACAACAGAAAAAGTTTGGTGCAGTTTGAAAAAAAAAGTGTGACACATGATGGCAGGTAGTAGTGATTTTAGAATACCTATATTCGATGGGGAGAATTATAAAATGTGGAAAAAACGTCTTATGCTATTTTTGAAAATGAAGAAGTGTGATGTTGTGGTAACCAGACCGAAAAATGAAAATGATGATACAAATTGGGATGACGATGATGTAAAAGCAATGAATTATATATGCGGTGCAATATCGGATCGACAGATGGAGTACATCGACGAAAAAACTACGGCGTATGAGATGATAAAGAAATTTGATAATTTATATTTGAAAGAATCAACGGCATTGCAGATAGTATGTAGAAATAACTTGGAAAGATTAAAATTGAACAACTATGGAGACTGTGCAACATTTTTTAGTGACTTCGAAAAAGCTATAAACGAGTTAAAAAGCGCGGGTGCTAGTGTGTCTGAAAAGGAAAAATTGAACTATATGTTAAACACGTTGCCAGAGTCGTACAGTTATATTGGTGATTTAATAGATACATTAAAAGAAGATGATCAAACTGCAGACTACGTAAAAACTAAGGTTATGATGTCCGAATTAAAAAATCAAAACAATGATTTTGGAAGAAAATCCAGTACATTTGTGGTAAATAAAGGTCGACAGGATCGATCATGCTTCCAGTGTGGCGAAGTTGGTCATTTCAAGCGAGATTGCAAAAATGGCGCCAATCAAGCGTCGGGTAATGGCGGACAAACGACAAGCAGTAGAGGCTGGTGGAGAGAAACGCGAGGTCGACAAGAAGCCGGAAGAGGAAGCTACGTCAGAGGACGTGGCCACTCACGTGGACAGCGCGGAACGCATGGAACAAGTGCACAGCGGTTCAACCGACAAGGACAGAAGAACGAAGAGCGAAACAGTGCTTCTTGGCTTACAACAGTAGCTCTTGGTAAGGATATGTCAGTTATTGCACAAAATACTGAAATAGGTAATGTAAATAATTGTATTGAAATAAAATGGCTTTTAGATAGTGGTTGTACAGACCACATTATTAATGATGAAAAATTATTTGATAAATGTAAATTACTTAAAGATCCCATTAATGTTTATTTAGGAGATAATAGGGTTGTAAAAGCTACTAAAATTGGAAATGTTTTAAGTTACTTTGATGCTTTTGGTAAAAAGAGTTTAGTAGATATGCAAAATGTTTTCTATGTTAAAGATATGAAATCAAATTTGATAAGTTATAGCAAAATAACAGAAAATAATAAGATTATTTCTCTAGGTAATATTTCAAAAGTTTTTGATAAACTTGGTAATATAACAGCAGTTGCTTTAAAAAATAATGGCTTATATATTATGAAAAGTAAATTAAAATCAGTTGAATTGCATGTAAATGTTGCAAATAAAGATATGAATAATATGAATCAAAAGGAAAAATGGCATCGTTTATTAGGTCATGTAAATTTTAAATATTTGAATATTTTATCTAAAGATCAGCTGTTGAATGGAATTCCTAATGAGTTTGAATCTGAATTTATGAAATGTAAGATTTGTATTGAAAGTAAAATGCATAATATTCCGTTTGTAAACAGTAGAAAAAAAGCTAAAGATATTTTAGAGATTGTACATACTGATGTTTGTGGGCCTTTTCGAACTACTGGGTTTAAAGGTGAAAATTATTTTGTTTCTTTCATTGATGATTATAGTAAGATTTCTAAAGTATATGCTATAAAATCAAAAGCAGAAGTATGTGATTGTTTGAATGAATATACGAATGAAAGTGAAAATTTGACTGGAAAGAAAATAAAGATTTTAAGATGTGATAATGGGAAAGAATATTTGAACAGTAAAGTCTACAGATTTGCAAAAGAAAGGGGTATAGTAATTGATAATTGTCCTACATATGTACATGAATTGAATGGGACTGCAGAACGGTTTAATCGAACTATAATGGATATGTCAAGATGTTTGTTGGCTGAAGCAGATATTCATAAAAAATATTGGCCTGAAATAGTTTGTGCTGCGGTTTATTTGAAAAATCGTACTTTATCTGATACAATTGAAAAGAAAACTCCATATGAAATATTTTTTGGACAGAAACCTGATGTTTCTAATTTGCGTTTGTATGGAAGTAAAGTTTTTGTACGAAGACCAGAACAGAAGAGAATCTCTAAATGGGATAAGAAAGCTGATATGGGAATTTTAATTGGTTATAGTAATGTTGGTTATCGTGTATTATTAAATGGCAGAGTCATTGTTGCTAGACACGTGGATATTGTTGAAGAAAACGTTAAGTGTATAGGTTTAGACTTTAACGAATCAGATAATGATAATAATGAAGAGTGTTACCCTGATAAAATTGATGAAAGCTCTGAAAATGACTCAATAGATGAAACTTTTGAAAGTACAAATGAAAGTATGGATGATAGTGTGAATAAAAATGAACCTGAGTTACCTAGATCTCACAGAGCCAAAAATCCTCCAAAGAAATTTGATGACTACTATGTATATAATAGTAGTATTTTTGTAAATATGTGTAGAACTGATATACCACATACATTTGAGGAGGCGATAAATTCTAATGAAAGTAAGTATTGGAAAACAGCTATGGACAAAGAAATTGATAGTTTAAATAAAAGTAAAACTTGGAAATTGGTTAAAAATGATACAAACAAAAATATTCTGGATGTTAAATGGGTTTATACTAAAAAGTCTGATAATACTTATAAAGCTAGATTGGTTGTACGAGGTTTTCAACAAACTGATGAAATTGATGATATTTATTCACCTGTGGCTAAAATGCAAACATTAAAGATTTTATTGTCATATTGTTGTCAAATGGGCCTAGTAATTGAACAAATGGATGTTGAAACAGCCTTTTTAAATGGTAAAGTAATTTCTGAAGTTTATATTAAACAACCTAAGGGTTATGAAGATGGAACAAGTAAAGTTTGTAAATTAGTTAAAGCTTTATATGGTTTAAAAGAAAGTCCAAGGGCATGGTATGAGTGCCTAGATACATTTTTGATAAATTTAGGTTTTGAAAGAAGTAATATTGATCCTTGTTTGTACGTTTATAAAATTGGAAATGATATTATTTACTTATTAATTTATGTCGATGATTTATTGATTTGTGGTAGAAATTTAAATGAAATTAAAAGGATTAAAATTTTATTATCAGAAAAATTTAAAATGAAAGATATTGGTGAAATTAAAGAATATCTTGGTATTACTGTTGATTATGATTCTAGTAAACATGAAATGAGATTGGATCAAAATAAATATATTGAATTATTAAGGAAAAAATATAATTTAGAAAAAGGTAAACTGTATAATACACCTATGGAAGTAAATTTAAAAATTGATAAATCTGATCATTGTGAAAGAAATATTAAATATAAAAATTTAATTGGTGCACTATTATACATAAGTTCGGCAACAAGGCCTGATATAAGTTTCAGCGTAAATTATCTGAGTAGATTTCAAAATTGCTATAATGAAACGCACTTTAAATATGCTGTACGAATTTTGAAATATTTATGCTTAACTAAAGATTTAAAATTGTTTTATAACAGAAATGAAAAAGTAAGTATTATTGATTGTTATGTGGATGCCGATTGGGCAGGTGATCATTTAGATAGAAAGTCTACAACTGGTTTTGTAATAAGATTGTTTGGTAATGTAATTTATTGGAAATCTAGAAAACAAAAAAGCGTTACAAAAGCTTCAACTTTTGCAGAGTATGTAGCATTGTCAGAAGCAGTAAGTGAATTGATATTTGTAAAAGAATTGTTGAAAATATTTGATATTGAAATAATAAAGCCAATTGATGTTTATGAAGATAACACTGGTACAATTAGTATAGCTAATTATGGCAATTTTACAAAAAATTCTAAGCATGTTGAAATTCATTATCATTATGTAAATGATTATGTTAAAGCAAATGTTATAAATGTGGTTAAAGTAGATTCTGATGATAATATTGCAGATATTTTTACGAAGTCCTTGGGCCAAGATAAATTTGAAAAATTTCGAAGTATGTTAAATTTGAATTAATGTAAATACAATGTAAATGTAAGGAGGCGTGTTGAGAATGTAATACATTTATATTGTATACACAGATATATTGGTGTAAGAGTAAGCGGAACGCACCCATAGTGTCATGGGTTGACATGACAGACAATAATAGTAATGTCAATGAGTATCATGTAGTTGTAGGTGGTAGTAAGAAGTATGGTGGCTTAAGTTAGGTTAGTTAATTAGTATGTATGTTATAGGAAATAAAGCCTTTTATAATAGTAGTAAAGTACGACTATTTATTTTCCAAATCCACACCTTAACAGCAACTCACAGCCACAATTGTACTTTAAAATAAGTGTATTTTTACGTTTCCAAAATTTTTATGGGACCAGAGTACATGCCAAGAGTACATTCTATAAAAAATAAAGTATCTGATCAATATTCGTTTTTGAGAAAACCGTCAAGGAATTAAAAATGGCAGCCCAAAGTAGCGCGAATTTCGCAATTAAAATCCACAAATTTTTCTTCCTGGAAATTTAGATTAGACAATCTTTTAGATGCCAGAGGTGTTAAAGATTTAATTTTACTACTGAAGTAAGTGCAACACAACTAGCAGATTTGTTAAGAGACGAGCAATCTCTCAACAGAAAAAGCATGTCTGGAGGCATAATATATTTTTTAGACAATCCAGATTCATGGTATTCAAGGAAACAGAGTACTGTTTCATGGAGTAGCACTGAGGCAGAATATGTTTCATCAACTGTTACATGTTGTTAATTACTGTTCATGAAAAAAAAATTTTGTTAAAATCCTTTATAAAAGGTATATACCTTTTATAAAGGATTTTAACAAAATTTTTTTGTGATATATGGTATACAGCCAGCTACAGGAACTTAGTTTCCTCGTGGAATTTTTGTTCATGAAAAATCTAGCAGATGAATTATTGCACAACAAAATAACTGGTAGTATATTATATGTAATTAACTATGGAGCTATAAATTATAGAATAATAAGTTTACTTACCCATTATTGTCTGCTTGAATTGCAATTATGGCACAAAAGAGTGCTCCAAATAAAAGGAGAAACTTTGAGATACCCATATCTTCTGATTTTTTCGGCCTCTATTATATCCAATTCCTAAAACAATTACATAAAAAATAAATCTGGTAGAAAAGTTTATGTATTAAAGATAAAACAATTTGCCTTTTCATTTGCTATTCAAACTCACAGACCAGCAAAGGATGTGTTGGGGTGGTTTTGCAGTCGTCTGTCATATTTTTGGGAGTAACTGGTAATTTCTTCTTTGACAGTTTTCATCTCAAGATCGCGATTGATGAATTCATTGGGCATGTACCACGGTGCATTTGTGATAATGCGGAAGGTCTTCGATTGGAATATCTCCAGTATGTCGATATTGGATCTTGACGCAGATCCCCACAGTTGGATCCCATAGCTCCATATTGGTTTTATCACTGACTTGTATACTAGGATTTTATTGTACAAATTCAGTTATGTTCTTTTTCCTATTAGCCAGTACATTTTACTGAGTTTCAGACCCAACTGTTTTCTTTTCGTGAATATGTGTTTCTTCCACGTTAATCTGCGGTCCAGGTGCATACTTAGGTACATATTTAATGAGACGGTTGGGCATGTACCTTTTCGATTAGTGAACGTTATATGTACTGACTTGCTTTCGTTAACTTTAATTTGCTATGTTTGTAGTAACCAAATTTTTATTTAGTCGAAATTGGTCTGGAGCAGTTGTGAGGCGATATAAGGGTTTGAGTGGGCCGCAAGGATTGCTGTGTCGTCTGCGTATGTGGCTATGACGATGTTTTGACTTGTAGGAAGATCTGCTGTGTAAAGTAGGAAGGGATATATAAATAAATCTATAGAAACCAGTGGCACACTTAGAATTTTCCTGTGGGGGGGGGGGGGGGTTGGTTTAAAATTTGTGAGTAACAGTGTCGGAATAACGCCCTGAGGGTGGGGTTAAACCCAAAAACCCCCGGGATGCGCCACTGATAAAAACCAATTATAATTCGAAGTAATTCTAGACAAAACTGAAAATGTATATTTTCACGATGTCGCGACATCGTCCTTCTGGCAGGAACACTAGAAGAACTGCAACATCTTGCTGAACAACTAAATATATATTGCAACGATTATGGACTAGAAATAAATTTAAAGAAAACCAACTTCATGGTATTTACAAAAGCACAAATCATCAAAGTTAAGCTAGTACTAGATAATACAGAAATTGAACAAATATTTTCGTACAAATACCTTGGAGCATGAACCACTGAAGATACTGATCAGACAAAAGAAATAAGATGCCGTGTTGAAATTGCACGGTCAACTTTTAATATAATGAGAAAACTTTTTTGTAATCGCGATATCAAAATATCGCTCCGGATAAGAATGCTTCGATGTTATATTTTCTCTACCCTTTTGTATGGGGTAGAAGCTTGGACACTTAAAAAATCCAACGATAAAAACGTGGAAGCATTCGAAATGTGGTGTTACCAACGTATTTTGAAAATGTCATGGATGGATCGCAAAACAAACGAACTAGTTCTCGAACAACTAGGAAAACGATGCGAAGTTTTAAATTCCATAAAAATCAGGACATTGGAATACTTGGGGCACATCATAAAAGGTGAAAAATACGAACTACTAATAAGGAATATAATGCAGGGTAAAATCAAAGGCAGAAGAAGCGTAGGAAGACCTCAAAATCTCGTGGCTACGCAATCTCCGTGAATGGTTTGGATGCAGTTCAATTGAACTATTCAGGCGCGTAACCAACAAAATTATAATTGCCAGAATGATTTCCAATCTCCGATAGGAGCGGAACTTGAAGAAGAAGAAGAAGTACCTACCGGATAAATTTTAATTACACCTGACATTACAAACAAATTGCTAATTAGCTCTGAACTCATACACAAAGGAGAAGAGTCGACAGAGAGATGCATTATTATTTTTTTAAATAAATCTAAGATGTAATAATTCAAACTGAGAGCAACAGAACGGGATCTAGAATAAAAACATCAAAAGGGATCAAGAAATAAATTCTTAGTAACGAAATATAATTCGAAGTAATTCTAGAAACGAACGAAGATGTATATCGCAACTAATAATATCAGTGATTAGATGTAGAGATAATAAGCATACAGGATACGTAATAAAACTGGAGAATATTGTACAATACATAAAGTTTCAATACAAAGGTTACTTAGTTTGGGTAGATAACGCAAAACATGAGTTGCAAAAATAACCAAATAGGAGTCAAACGAATATGAGGACTAAGTTAACTCATACTTTTATAACTAAAGTGTAAGCGTAAATTAAAAACAAATAATAAACAACTAATAAATATTTGCAAAATAATACTTACCTTCTAGTACAAGGTGAATTATAATAATAACTTTCAGTTAGAGTTCAAATAAGTATTTAAATGTTTTTAGGTCTACTCATCTGTAAACAACCCTGCTATATCAGGACACGTGGAGTAACGACAAATCAAAAGTGTTCGGATTATCTAAAATTTTTATAAAACTAAAATAATACCTGATAACCTAAACATCCTGAAATCAATATACATATCAATTTAGAAGAATAGGTCAAATAAAACGACTTCACATTAATGGTCAAGCTTGAGTTAAATCAGTTCATAAACATGTTTTAGATTAAATTATTGTTTTATTTTGTTAGAATTCTATTGAGAAACAATTATAAACTATATTTTTATTAATTGGCAATTAGTACGATTTTTATTCAAATACATATATAGGTATATATATATATATATATATATATATATATATATATATATATATATATTTTATTATAATTAAATATTAACTATTCACATCCAGATATCAGTAAAGTGAGCTTTTTACAATTCGGGAATTCCCTTGTTGCATCATATCCCTATTATATCATTGCGAGTTTCGCATTGAAAGGTATACTCTGTTATTGTTTTCAAATAATTTTTCTCTTAGCGTTGTTTCGTTTTATAATAAGTTATTTAAAATTTTGCTGATTCCAAGTTGAAGTATAATAAGCAGCACGGTCTTCGAATTGAAAGATTTCAATTAAGTGAGTGTCGTAAAGTTTTATTTTTCATTAAGAGAGGTTTTTGCCATCTCAATATCGTAAGTCTACTCTTTTATTTCATTTTTAAAGATTTTATTTGGCCCAATGCAGAAAAAAACATCAAATACAATAAATTTCGTTGGAAACGAAAATTGTCATTTTAAATCGCTTAGGAAAAGGATCTACGGCAATTAGAAAACATTTTAGTTTAGGCGAATCAACTGTAAAAGCAATTAACAAGAATGAAGTTGCTATAAGAAAATCTATAATTTCCGATACAAAATTAAGCGCCAAATTTTCATCTTATATTCAAGATTTGTATTTGTATCGTTCGAGATTAACTGCACAGCACACTCCCACCTAACAGTGCCAGTCCCCTGTTAGCGAGTAAAACGACGATTGGATATCGCCTAGTGTCAGGGTGCTTAAATGTATATATGGCGATAAATTCAAAAAACACTTAAGATTGTATTCATTTTAAAGTAAGGGGAAATCAATATAGTCCTAAATTAACAGAAAACTCTTATTCTATACGATAATAGGTATATATTTTGATACTATTTGGGTTTAAAAAAAAAATTTGCTGGTTAAAAAAATTAAAGAATAAAATTTTTATTTATAAAAATGTTACAAGAAATGTTAATAGGTAATACAAGCCAAGTGTAGTATAATTTAGTGTTCTTGTGACAAGAACTTGTCAATATTTAAATATGTGTTTTGTTATTCTAATGCCAAGTTTTATGTGAATACCTGGTCCTGATAAAAACAAACTTTTAATGGCTGTTTTCTTAGTGGCCCTATGTTTAACTTTGATTAAATCCTCCTCTTTAAAATGACTAGCGCATACATGAAAATTGTTATAGTTTCTGTTGCAGCATTCTCTAATTTAGTCTAAAATTGTAAAATGTTCATTGCTTTTTTGCACTATTTATTTGACTTTAATTAACTGTACATATTGAGCAATATCACCAAACGTGCGTTGACCTTGGCTATCCTTGTTGCCAATCTACAATCTAGGTTGAATTTATCTATCATTAATCAGCAAGCACCTGTTGCAATCTGGCATCTGGTGGTTTGACGATTGCCAAATCTATCCGATACTCTATCAAATGGCAATTTCCAAAAAAGATTTCTAATAGTTAATTGCAATTAATCTCCAAAGAAACAAATATTTACTTGTTCTTATTTTATATAAATTAAATATTGCAGAACTCATAAAATAGTATAATCAAAATGTACTTTTTAACAGCTTTATCTCTTTATATTTGAAGCAAACAACATATACATTATAAAAACATCACAACACTTTGTACCTTTAAAAAGCGTATTTTGATTATTTCTTTTGAAATTTTTTTGGCTTGATTTGGAACCCTTTTTTATTACACATAAATATTAGTATTTGTTTATACAGAATTGTACAGGGAGGACATTTTTTACTTCAGGGGTTCATCAGAGAGACTTCATTATAATAAACAAGACATAAACCAGGGTTAGATAGGTGGGCACCATATTCAAAGGATCAAATTCTCATTCACACCTTTAATTTAATTAAATACCATAATTAGTTTAAAAATGTTGGTACTATCTATACTTGATAGTAGATACATTTAATTTTAATGAAATATTTAATCCTGCTCTAAGCAATTCTTGAAGCAGCCACATGCTTGTATTGAGATGTAAGGTACAGTTAAAGAATAAATACAATGACTTAGATCAGCTACGCTAGTTCTACGAAAATTGTTTTAAACAGTGCTGAGATATAGGAAACAAAAAAATAAGGAAAAATACTGAATTTTTTAAATGTATTTAATAAAAAGTTAGTCCCAGTTTTGAGAAATCACAAATAGTGAAATTATGATTTTTAATGATACTTTAAAGCGATTTATGCAAAAAATTATGTCTAATTCCTACCCACCTCAAAACATACACCCTCCGATCCAACAAAACATATCAGAGTCACACACATGGAAAACAGCATAAACTATATATAAAAATTCAAAATATACAATACAATATTGTAGAAGCTAGGAAGAAAAATTAATACCTACACTTTAAATATAATAAAAAAATATTGAGAAAAGGCATGACTAGGAAATGGGACACTAGATCGAGAAATTGCCTACAGGATACAGCCTGAATGGTTTAACTGGAAGTGAATGAACAAAGTACTCTGTGATTGAAAAATCGGAAAGAGCTGAAAAGAAAGATATACAAGTGTGGTGTAAGTCTGCATTGGTATATATTGGTAAAGTGTGAACTGTAAAGAAGGTTCCAGAAAACAGGATGTACAGAAATAAATGGCAAAGAAGATTAAGAAACAGTAACCCCTGAAAAGGGAAAAGCTTTCCCTTTTCAGGGGTCACTGAAGAAGAAGAGAAAATAAATGCCTCAGAAAACAAAATCTATAAATTTTGGTCTAATACTTTTTGAAATTTACAGATAGTATAAATAAATTCAAGTATTATGGCAATATTTCATCAAATTGAATCATCAAATCTAATAAACAATGATATGCACAAAGATAAGATAGTTGAAATAAAAATACTCCAATAGAATAGTTTATTTATTGAAAAGGTAAAAATGTGTTTAACTTCAATATTATTTTCCTCCTCTTAAACGAAGTACTAAATGAAGGGTAGACTCTTTCTGGATATTGTAGTCTGAGAGAGTACGACCATCTTCCAACTGCTTTCCAGCAAAAATTAGTCTTTGTTGATCTGGTGGTATACCTTCTTTGTCCTGAATTTTAGCTTTGACATTTTCAATAGTATCTGAAGGTTCTACTTCAAGGGTAATGGTCTTACCAGTTAAAGTTTTAACAAAAATTTGCATACCTCCTCTAAGACGAAGTACCAAATGGAGGGTTGATTCTTTCTGAATATTGTAGTCTGAGAGAGTACGGCCATCTTCCAACTGCTTTCCAGCAAATATTAATCTTTGTTGATCTGGTGGAATTCCTTCTTTGTCTTGAATTTTAGCTTTGACATTTTCAATAGTATCTGAAGGTTCTACTTCAAGGGTAATGGTCTTTCCAGTTAAAGTTTTAACAAAAATTTGCATACCTCCTCTAAGACGAAGTACCAAATGGAGGGTTGATTCTTTCTGAATATTGTAGTCTGAGAGAGTACGGCCATCTTCCAACTGCTTTCCAGCAAATATTAATCTTTGTTGATCTGGTGGAATTCCTTCTTTGTCTTGAATTTTAGCTTTGACATTTTCAATAGTATCTGAAGGTTCTACTTCAAGGGTAATGGTCTTTCCAGTTAAAGTTTTAACAAAAATTTGCATACCTCCTCTAAGACGAAGTACCAAATGGAGGGTTGATTCTTTTTGAATGTTGTAGTCTGAGAGAGTACGGCCATCTTCCAACTGCTTTCCAGCAAATATTAATCTTTGTTGATCTGGTGGAATTCCTTCTTTGTCTTGAATTTTAGCTTTGACATTTTCAATAGTATCTGAAGGTTCTACTTCAAGGGTAATGGTTTTTCCAGTTAAAGTTTTAACAAAAATTTGCATACCTCCTCTAAGACGAAGTACCAAATGGAGGGTTGATTCTTTTTGAATGTTGTAGTCTGAGAGAGTACGGCCATCTTCCAACTGCTTTCCAGCAAATATTAATCTTTGTTGATCTGGTGGAATTCCTTCTTTGTCTTGAATTTTAGCTTTGACATTTTCAATAGTATCTGAAGGTTCTACTTCAAGGGTAATGGTCTTTCCAGTTAAAGTTTTAACAAAAATTTGCATACCTCCTCTAAGACGAAGTACCAAATGGAGGGTTGATTCTTTTTGAATGTTGTAGTCTGAGAGAGTACGGCCATCTTCCAACTGCTTTCCAGCAAAAATTAGTCTTTGTTGATCTGGTGGTATACCTTCTTTGTCTTGAATTTTTGCTTTGACATTCTCGATGGTATCTGATGGTTCAACCTCGAGGGTGATGGTTTTACCAGTGAGTGTTTTTACAAAGATCTGCATTCTGTAACAAAGAAAAATTGAGTTAGATAATGTTAATTAAATAGTACCAATTAGGGCAACGATTAGTTTAATGCACCGAACATAACAAAATATCGTCATTGCCCAACAATTTAACAATTAAAACTTTTGGAAAAGTTTTTAAAGAGATATTTTAAAACCTCATGAATATAAATAAAATTAAATGGACATATATTTTAGTATATTAAATTCATTACATACATTTGTAATCAAGTTTTGACGTTAATGCAGATTATTAAAAAAATGGCGGTTTTAAAGTATCACAACTAATTTTTTTATTTAAAACAAAAGATTATCATTTTGAATACACAAAAAATTAAATGACATTTGTAAAGATTACTTACGTTTTATTTTTCGCTTTCAGTAACAGAAAAGAAAAAATCTAGTATCTGGTATCTCTAGAACACCAAATATCAAAGTGACAAGTGACTACTGAAGATGATCTGGCGTGATCTGGCTGCCGCTGATCTGATCTAATTCGCGAAGTTTCGCGAAATCGATATGAATTACAGCTTTTATACTATAAGTGACGTCATAAAATGCTTCGCCAATCAGTTTCTAGAATTTACTAGATGTTTATTTGTTTTTTTTATATTGATTGATACGGTATTTTTTTAAATTTAACGTGAATTAATGAAACCTTTTTGTTATATGTTTTTAAAATTTTGATGAAAAAACTGATTTAAATATAAAATTGTTTCCAATTCTTATTACTTTCAGTTAGTATGCAACACTCATTTCTTTGTGTGATTTATTTTTAGATGTTTTATTCGTTACCACATCCAAGTCCAAGAGTTGGACGGGTGCGTACTGATCATTACTAATGTTATTGATCTATTAGATACAAATTATGAATTTTGCCTATATAAATACAATTTCCAAAATATACACTTCTAGGATTTTATACATATTTCTAAATAGACATTTAGACGTAGTTTTTAATATACCTAACATATAAAATCTTCTAAATTAATTATCTTCTTCTTTAAGTGCCATCTCCCAATCGGAGGTTGGATATCATCATCACTATCTTTACTCTATTGCTGCTCTGAAGAGTTCTATAAAACTGCATGCATTTAAACCAAGCCCTTAAATTGTTCAACCATACTCTCCTTCCTATACTCCTTCCTCCTCTTATCTTTCTCTATATTATCAGCCTTAGCAGTTTATATCGCTGTCCCCTTATTACGTGTTGCAGATATTGTAACTTTCTTATTTTTATTGTGTTTATTATTTCGCATTCTTTGCCCATTTCTCGCAATACTTCCGTGTTAGTTTTCTTCTGTGTCCATGCTATTCTAAGCATCCTCCTGTAACACCACATTTCAAAGGACTGTAACTTTTTATGTGTTCTTGCTTCAATATCCAGCTTTTAAGTCCATATTGCAGTATCGAAAACACGTGTAGCATCTCAGTGCTATTACTCTATCAAGTCTCAGTTCTAATCTAAGGTCTTTGTTGCAGAGAATTGTTTTCATTTTTACAAACTCATTTCTTGCTATTTTTATCCTGACTCTTATTTCGGTTGTTTGATCATCATTGTCCGAAATCTAGTTTCCTGGATATTTGTATTTATCAACCCTTTCTATCGGTACATTTGCCAAATGTATGTTTGCTGGTATATTTGTTTTCTTTGTTATTATCATGTATTTGGTCTTTTTTATATTCATTTTTAGTCCATATTTTTCACATAAACTGTTTGTTTTGTTTAGCAGTAATTGGAGTTGTTCAGCAGAGCTTGCCATAATCACGGTGTCATCTGCATATGTTATATACAAATTAATTATTATACTAAGGGTTATTATAACAAGAGTTAATTGAATGTATTTGACCTGTATTAAATACGTTAAAAAAACCTCCAGAGAAGTAGACCTCTGGTGTATAACGGTATATTTTATTAAAAATATTTAAAATTTATCCAAAAGAATTACAAATCTTCAAAATGTTTTCGGTCCAACAGACTATCATCAGTGAAACATTCTAAAAGTAGTTCATAGCTCTATCAAAATTCAGGAGATTTACATATATACATGGGTGTTCCAAAATGTTTTTACCATTCCATAATTCAGGATTTTTATTTGAAAATTGATGTAGGTACACATGAGATCTGTGACGTAATTTCAAAAGAAAAAATTAAATAGATCAGGTGGGTGAATAAAGGTATTAATTTAAATAAGTACGCTAAATTTTCAATTTAATGTTTATTTTTAACAATAACCAAGAACATTAAAAATGTGAAATACTTTTATAGGTGTTCAAAATGACCCTCTGCTTTAACAGAAGCGTCAAACCGTCTAAGCAGTTCATGTGTACCTACATACTGAATTTTTCATTTCTGGCATAACCATATATCAAACTATCGAGCTGTCTGTAAGAGTTTTAGAGGACAATTTGGCTTTATAGGAGGGAGGTCAACATATGCCAACCTAGTTTTGTATGTCAATCATATATATATATATATATATATATATATATATATATATATATATATATATATATATATATATATATATATATATATATATATATATATATAACAGCTTTAAAGAAGGATTGACTCAATCTATACTACTTTTCCAAAGCATTTGATCAGGTCAACCATGGGGTCCTCTTACAAAAACTAAGAGCTTTGGGTATTGCGGATCCCCTTCTTCAGTGAATTTAAGAATTTGTTAGTGGCTGTAGGCAGGCAGTTGACTTGGAGAGTGACACTTCAATTGAAATAACAGTTCCATCGGGCGTGCCACAAGGCTCCCATTGTGGCCCTGTTTTTTTGCTTGTTTCTGGTTGATTTAGTACAACAAATCAAAAATTGTAGTGTTCTTATGTTTGTTGACAATGTAAAACTGTTTAGAAAAATTCAATCCTGGAATGATGCTGCTATATTACTGGAAGATCTTAAATTGTTTTATGATTGGTGCACTGTGAACAGAATGTCACTCAATATAAACAAATCTCATGAAATGACATTCTCGAGGCAAAGAAATCCAATTACATTTGTTTACTACATAAATAACTTGCTATTAGCCTAGAAAAATGAGGTATCACATTTGGGAATCTGGTTAGACGCCAAACTGTCATTCTCAAGCCACATCAACCAAGTAACAAACATAGCGATGAAAGTGCCAGGATTTATCCAACGCACATATGTGGACTTGTCTTTGTTTACATTTTGTGGAGTTTGGATCAGTTGTATGGTCCCCATCATACAACTATTACATTCAACAGATTAAAAGAGTCCAGAATAGATTTTTGAGGGTAGCAGCTTATAAGAGTGGATACAGGAGAGAGGAATATGCCTATCAGTGGGTAAGAGATAGTCTTAACTTACCAACACTTGAGTCAAGGACATTGTTAGATTTATGTTTCTTACACAAAGTTATCAATGCTTTTATAGATTGTCCTCAACTCTTATCACTTGTTAAAGTCTTAAAGTATCTAGTAGAAGCAACAGACAATCAGAAATCTTTTCAGTGCTATTTCACCACACTAATTATGGTATTAATGAATCAACTACACAATTGGTCCAGAGTGCTAAAATAGCCTACCAAGACAAATAAGATATTTTTGACTCCAAAATTAGTTTGTTTAAAAAACAACCAAAAAAGTTATTATAAGGTGTTTGTTATTTTAATAATTTATTGTTGTTAGGTATACCTTTGTAAGTAAATGGATACCATATATAAATAAATAAATAATATTTTAGAATCATTTGTATTTGTGAAAAAAGTTTGTTGTAGTTTGCAAAAAGATCATCATATTCTATCAATAATCTGTTAGATGTCTATATAATTTATTGAATTTAAATTTTTTAATTAGGAAGCATAAAAGTGATCTTTACAAAAATTATATTTTATATTCAGAAATAGCTGCAATACTTGTGTTATTATACTATGTGTTATATACATATAACTACTTAAAAAATTCTTAAAAATGAAAAAAGTACTTTAATATAATTTGAGCAAATTTTAAGCTTTAAGAATCGCGATTTTCATTAGATGATTTAATAACAAGTCTTTTTGAAGAATCACTATCTAGCTCCAATTCCATTCTTGTAACATCCCATTTATCAACATTTTTCAAAGCCCAAAAATACAGATGCCCATTTTGTTTGCTTCCTTTCAAGGGTACTTTATATTGTGCGGTGTTGTCCTTGACAAAATTTGTTTTCATATCTGATACATCTACGTCTCTGTCCCTGATCGGCTCGCCCAACAAAGTCACAGCTCCCTTGTGGCTTCTTACTATTTTTAGAGCTTCTTTGTAAAATTCAGTTTGTGATACATTGTAACTCAATCTATTTTTGTACAAAATTGCCATAGTAACAGTCGCAAACCCACCTAGAGCGGCGATTTTAACTAAAGTCATATTACTTACAGGCATTTTAAATAAAATTATATTACATACAAAAATAAAATTCAATAAAGTTAAAGATTTGTTATACCAACATTTAGTTGGAAATCAAATACATCAGTTTTATTATAACAATAACTTAATTTGATAATCTAGAAATTGTAAACTATAAACAACGAAATTTTTAGGTTATCTCTATAAACTCTTCTTCTTCTTGTTATTTTTTGCTGATGAAAAATAATCTTCGACTACGTAAGTAATGCAACTACTCCGTTTTTATGGGGAATACATAGGTTGCCAGTCAAAAAGTGACCGCAAATATTTTTAATTCATTTATAAGTCATTCATTTTTTAACAAAAATTTTATTTCGTTCACTTACTTTTTAAATAAAATACACTGCTCACGACGTATATACATGTTTGTTTATAATATCAAATTAACGCTAATCTTTTACTTAATATGGTAATATAAGATTGCCTGAGAAAGAATGGTCGCAATGGTACGGACATATTTACTGCAAACTTTTCAGGAAAAATTAGTTAACAATTAAAACAATACACCTGTTACAATAAATCGACGTTTCATATTCCTTGCGTTCCATATTTTGGAATATTTCATGGGTTATTATTTTGATAGCTATCTGTCAGATTTTACAATAAAATTATAGATTCTAGAATGATAATGGTTACTTACCCATTATTGTTTGCTTGAATAACAATTATGGCACAAAATAGTGTTCCAAATGCAAGGAGAAACTTTGAGATACCCATTATCTTCTGACTTTTTTTGCCGTACTAGAATTTCTAAAACAATTATACGCAAAATAAATATTTTAGAAAGAATTTCTGGAATTTAGATTTGTGTATAGGGCAATCTATGTATTAAGGATCTAACATTTGTATACCTATACAAATTCAAACTCTCAAAGTAGCATAGTATACTATTCTTCCTACAACAGTAGTAATTACAAAGACGTAATTTACTTTGATGGCTGAATATGAAACTCATTATTAAAGACACCCAAAAACCGAATTGAAAAAGTAGTCCTCAAATTCAGTTTCGAAATTTTTTTTATGCTATCTCCATTTTAGGCATTAAACATTGTGAATAATAGTGTCGGAATAGTGCCCTGGGGGGGGGGTGTTAACCCCCAAACCCCCCCCTATGTGCGCCGGTGAGCTGAATACCCAAAAGCTTAGAGAAAGTACTAAATTTTAGGGTCAGAAACTAATTACGAAATATTAAAATTGGAACCTGTACCTACTTTTTGTATATCTGATTAATAAAACGATGTATAAATTGATAGAAGTTTTAGAAATGTTTTTTTTTGTCATATATTCTTTTCCCTCGACACCTAACGGTAAAAGAGGAAGGATTCTGTATGTATGTATGTATATTAACAGTCGAATACTAAGCAGTTTAATTGTAACATAAGAGATCTATCAAGCCTATCGCACAGATTAGACATAAGAGCCTAAATTCTCATAAACAGAAAAAATCATAAACTAACTAAACTAGCAGATGTATTGAAGAATTACAGCAACGAGAAAAAATTGCCAGCTATTAAGTACTAAAAAATGTAAAACAGTGCGTACAATAATTACATAAATGCAAAACGAATTTATTTTATAGTACTTACTTTAATGTCTGAAAATTCAGGAGAGACAAAAATAAAAAGCAATTTTTACCAAAGTAGATTTTCTCTTCGTCGAAAAGAAATTTCGTTCATACTTCTGATAATATCAATATATTTCAGTCTGCTACAACTGGTGTTAAAATTATTAAAGAAACAGGATGTGTACTTTCGGACCACAAAAGTTAGATTAGCAAATTGTTTAAATTAAATACTATTTTGAGTATATACGAGGACTATCCTACAAATTAATAGGAGAACGAAAAATATTGATGATAACTTTTGTTGATTTTTAAATATATTTTTTAGCTTCTGAGCTTGTTTATTACTTTAATCAAATTCAAAACTAATTATTTGCAAAGATTAAATCAAAATAAAGAGAAATAAACTTTACATAGACAATTACAGAAACTAATAAAACTTATATGGAACGAATATTTTAACGATTTAAACGAATTAAATGGCAGAGTACCAATGACAACGGAATGTTTCTTAGAGATTTTTGCGAAACAATGTCTCTCAAAATTATGAATGGATTTTTCAACATAGAGACATCCACAAATTTACATGGATACAACCTACTAGGAATCTGCGCTCGATAATCGACTATGTAATCCAACGTCAAACTTCCCAGCTGAAAACAACTCACGTAAGGTTATACCGTGGATCAGAATGTGGATCCGACCATCGTTTAGTTATGGCTAACGTGATAGTCTACTATCGCAAAAACAATAACACTCAAGTACAAAATATAGAAAAGGGACAAGAAGTAAAACATCCCCTAACTATAACTTAGAAAGTTTAAAAGAAGATTCAACAAAATTTGTTTACAAATTACGACTGGCCACAAAATTACAAAATGTGGATCGAAAAATTATATCAGCGGAAAAATTATACCAGCAACTTAAAAAGAGCATTAATGAGGCTGCAAGTGAAGCTTTGGGATATAAATACAAACATGAAACAAAAATCAAGAATGGTGGTCGGAGAATATGCAAACTTCAGTAGTGTCGAAGATTAATAATCACGCACATTGGTAGCGAAGATGGTTTTGTGGAGAATGGTTTATATGAGTTCGTTTCAAAATCCACCAAAGGTTACCACAAAGAAATGAACTTTGATGGTTTTGGGGATTACTTTTTTCAGGTATTGATTTTTCTACCAAAGCTGGCGCTTTCGATATCGCCTAACTGTCGCTTAACATTAGTGGAAAAGTTACCGGTCTCATGGAAAAAGTAGATATAATTGATTGTATGATCAGGATATGCTTAAAACGGAATTATTACGAATTATAAGGCAAAATAATCAGGACTAAGTTATCGTGCACTTTTATAAATAAAGCGTAAGTGTACATTTACTTTCGTAAACTTTCGGAGGAACCTGTAACCTCTAGAAGCGCGTCCCCAGGTGGCGGATAGGGGAATGCCCGACCCGGTTTACCGGTGGGTAGGAGGGAAATAAAATACCTCCCGTGGACCAACAGGTAATTTACCGAATGATTGCCGGTATAAGCAATCCCCCACTTATGACCAACGGCTGCGGGCGGATGAGTTAATAAGTGGAAGGGCACTCTTTTGTCCAAGGGTTGGGAAACTGGTCCTAAAGGCGGATGAATCGAAAAATATGTCAACGGCGTAAGGATGCAGAAGGCAACGGGGAACCACTACATTAAAGACTCTTAGAGTACCCCTAGTAAAGTCATGAATGGCAAATGACAAGTAGAGTAAACAAACTTACTGATTATGGAGCACGGAATCCAAGATCCGGCAGGGGAGGAATAACTGTAGATCACAGGGCCTCCCAGGTCGTAAACCAGAGAAATCCCTGTGGACTTAAGACATTGAAAATAGCAACCTGGAATGTCAGAAGTTTATATGCAAGTGGTAAATTAGCGAACGTACTGCTTGAAATGGAAAACCTCCAAATTGATGTTTTAGGTATAAGTGACGTACAGTGGCCTGATTCAGGCAAACAAATTGCAAATAATGGAACCATGTATTATTTAGGTAACAACGAGGTCAATCATCGTTACGGTGTTGCTATCTTAGTTGCAAAAAAGGTCAATTACTCTGTGATAAGTTTTACTCCTTATTCTGATAGTATCTTATCAATACAACTACAGTCTAAAAAAGGTATAGTAAATTTTATTCAAGTTTATGCTCCTACGGCAGATAAAGATGACGACGATATCGAACTGTTTTACCATGATTTGGAACAAGTCTTAAAATCAATGAAAAAACATCACACTACAATAGTAATGGGCGACTTCAATGCCAAAGTTGGCCAGGGAAGAGTGGATGGATATGTGGGGGAATATGGTCTAGGAAATAAAAATGAACGTGGTGACCGTTTGATACAATTTTGCCAGACGGAAGAATTTGTAATAGCTAATACACTTTTTAAGCTACCAAAAAGAAGGTTGTATACATGGAAATCTCCCGGTGATACAACGAATAGAATAATCCGAAATCAAATTGACTTTGTCCTTATTAGACAAAGATTTCGTAATTCTATACTGTCTGCCAAAACTTACCCTGGAGCAGACATCGGTTCAGACCATAACCCCATAGTAGTCACATTACGAACCAAATTAAAACTGGGTAAAAAACCCACACAAAGTAGAATTGATATTAAAAGATTAAGGGAACCACAAACAAAGGAACAAACTGTAAAAACTCTTACTGAAAATATACGTAATGCCCAAGAACTGAATAAAAGTAGCTATAACATTGATTAGAAATTGGAAAATATAAAAGCAGCAATAATTAAAACAGCAAATAAAAACTTAAAACCAAAGAATAGAAAACATAAAGATTGGATGACTGAAGAAATACTACTATTAATGAATGAAAGCAAATCATTCAAAACAAAAAATCCAATTAAATATAATGAAACTGATCGATTAATAAAAAAGAGAATAAAAGAAGCTAAGGAGAGAATGTTACATGAGCGGTGCCAAGAACTAGAAGAAATTGAGAAAAAATATGACTTTTTTAACATGCATAAAAGAATTAGAGAATTAACAGGAATGAGAAAAACACTTCAAACTAGGCAACTAAGAGATGAAAGGGGTGCACTTATAACAGATATAAACCAAAAAATGCAGAGATGGACACAATATATAGCACAACTATTTGAAGACAAAGAGAGAACAGAAGCACCAAAAGAATTTAAGGATGATACTGGGCCTGATATTATACGAGAAGAAATTGAATATGCAATGAAACAAGCTAAAGATGGTAAATCTCCCGGGCCTGATGAAGTTCCTATCGAATTACTTAAAATTGTGAATACTGAATCTATTGATCTTCGTTTGGATCTATTCAATACCATATATAGAACAGGTATAATACCTAAAGAATGGCTCCAATCAACATTCATACTGCTTCCCAAAAAAGCCAATGCAAAGGAGTGCAATGAACATCGCACCATAGCCTTAATGAGTCATGTCTTGAAATTGTTTTTAAAAGTAATTCACAATAGAATACATAAGAAATTAGATGAAGGCATAAGTAATACACAAATGGGATTTAGGAAAGGACTGGGAACACGAGATGCACTGTTTG